AATACTTAACTAGGGTCTATTTGAGCGATGTGATTATCCTAGTTTTCTTTGACGCTTCAATATTTGTAAGACTGAATAGTGTTAATACTGCAATCCTGTGTGCATGCATTGTTAGATATGAAAACAACACTCGGTTGAGTGAAATACAGAGACCGATAACATAATTTTACGATACATTACACAGTGATACAACATGGTCATCTTCCTATGTTGCCAGTCGGTTAGTGATAATTATATACTTTATAATGAATGAATTCAAAATACATTTTTCTAAGTTTTAGTGGGACTGAGTAACCTGTGTAGTCATTCTTGTGTGATATACAATCACTGATGATATCAAATAACAATTATGCCATATAGTGAACCAGGTGAAGGTAAAATTGTGAACCATTAAATTGTAACTCAGTCGTTCGGTCTTGTTATGTGACCAGAGAGCTTTGGAATTTATGTTTTATGAGGCCACGATGATGGAAGAAACAGCTGTGATATATTTCGAGGTTTTCGTCGGTTTTCAATCTAATAGATATCTATTACTTTGATCACCTTTGAAGTTTGTATTTTTTGATCATCCGTCTCAAACTGATATTCCCAAAATAGATTGGACCTAACCTTATATTATTGGTGACAATTTGTATTACTATACATGTGGTCAACTCTAAGAGTTACATTCTCTCGGTACAGCATTAAAAATACCCATCCTTAAACTAATCACTTGTTAATACCTGAATACTATTGATTCTGATACGTTTCAAGACATTTTGTATTCGCTGGAGGACACGCTTATCATAAACTGGTCTCCCGATCTTGAAGGTTTTCCAAATGATACTTAATAAATATTGGAAATAATCCAAATTCAAGCAATATTATCTAAATAAATACTGATAATTTTATCTTGCCAACTTCAGTCAAACGTTTTAAAAGAAAAAAATCTCTGTCACTTATGTTCCCCAGTTTAAGAACTCATTGGGTCAAGAAAGTTGATGGAAAAAAGTTTTAAAACCTCTCTGACATGAATAAAGTTTCATTTGACCCGAATTTACATGCTTCCTAGACCTATTTTCATAAAATAATGTGAGTGTTTTGTAGGATCCTTCGTCGAGAACAGTTTTACATAGAATTTATGGAAGACATTTTAATCAACGTATATAGAGACTGAGTGGTCTAAATCAGCTATATTCTTTAGCTGAGTTAGATCTGATAATTTAGTTGCCGTTGATGAAAAACTCGTTATTCGACAGTCAGTAGAAAATCCAAAGACAAGAGTACATACAAAAATAAAATTCTCTAACTCCAAGGTAGCTTCTATTTATTGTATAATGATTTGGTTACTCGATCCCCATTATTTTTTTTCATAGATTAGAATTAAATCAAAATCGTTTTACAATTGACTAATTGATTACTTTTTACCAATGAATTTTACTGAACAGCCTTAGTCTACTATTATTAAATCAAAATGGCTAAGTCTGTTTACTCTTGACTAATGATAGTATAATTTGAAGAATTTATTATCATAATGAAGCTGAAAATGTTTTCAGTTGACTGCAGGTTGTGAGTATTCTACGACTTAGAAAATAATTCTAGTTGTATGGTGTTGGGAGCTTAATTTAATTTAAAATAGTTCTTGTCATGGGATAACACCTGCTGCCCTATGGAGCACCTGGAACCACCGAAAGCCGTTTTGTCTTAGTTTGGAACTATTAATCACTTTTCAAATACTATCTGTTACCAGATTAAACACAGAACCTTCAGCTATTATGGTGAGTGTACCACATTTATATTACTATATTAAAGTCAAAAGGTTCACATTTTCGACATCAGTCAGTTTGAAATATAACTCAAATGTCATTCAAACTTGTGGGTGATTAACTGCACTACTTGTTGACTCATTTGAACTCCATTAGTCATGAATTCACACTACGACTTAAAGAGTCAATCTTCACGCTTTTCGACAATGAGCATGGGATTATTGTTTAGTTAGTCTGTTTGTGATATTTGTTTTGATGTGAAAATACTTTTTGTCAGAGTTTGGTACTCCTTAATAGTGTACATATATGCTTTATGTATTTTAAGACCGACAATAAATATTTTCAAACAGAGAGAAGTTTTGTGGATATTATAGTAATTTAACAGTTGAATTCATGAGCCGATTGAAGCTAGACCACCATGAAAAACCTGGAAGCACTAGACGGTCGTTTCGTCCTAGTATGGGACTCCTCAGGAGTGAGCATTCACGATTCCGTTGTATGCCGGCTCAGTGGTATAGAGGGTAAGCACTCGCGCACAAAATTGATAGGTCCTGGGCTCGAACCTCACGAGGCGGGATTGTGGATACGCACTGCTTAGGAGTCCCGTACTAGGACGAAACGACCGTCCAGTGCTTCCAGGTTTTCTGTGGTGGTCTAGCTTCAATTGACTCATGAATTCAAACATTAAATAAATATTTTGTCGATAAAGGTTTAACCAACTCACATAAACGACTGAATAATCCAACCTTTCAACTCCTCTTTATCAATTTTTAAGTTATTGTCAATATCGATTTTATGGAATAATTTTCCTAATTGTGATTTTGCTTCTTCTGGATCTAATTCTTTAAATTTTTGTGAATATTCATGTGAACCAGTAACTAGATCGTGGTCATATTCACTGTAATGTTGTCCAAAATCATCATAATGTTCATGACCTTGATAATTAGAGTCATCTAACATATGAAGATCAGGTTCATCTGGACGTAAATAGTTATCGAATTTCACATTGATATTTTCAAAATCACTTAAACAAGAGACTATTTGAAGTATACTAATTAGGTAGTTTAGGGATAACATTTTGAACTTTTTGTTTTGGGCAGTGATAATATGTTGACAACAATGGCAAAAAACAATTTTAATTAATGTAATATGTGAAATTTAAGCTCAATAATTGGTTATTTTGTGCCAAATTTATTTCTCTACCTTTTAAACACTTTAATAATAATACGGGTACCTTCATTTGAAATTTAAACGTTACGTTTAATTAAACGTGTTCTTACTGGATTGGTTAGTAAATATTGAAAAAAAATCGTTAATCTATAATTCTTGAAATTAGAAACAGTTGCTAAGCCAACAAATTCATTTTCTTGTTGTATTGTCCAGGTTCCGAGCGTTCAGTTGTCATTGAACTGAGGTAGTTTAGAATTTGTAGCTTCCCAATGGAACAGTAAAGTAACAAGCAGTTCACTTTTCTGTAACGAATCAAGAAGATTGCATTATTATCGAGATCAGTTTCATGTAGGCGACTGTCTAGTGGTTTTAGCTGCACACTTTTCGACAGACATTTTGTTCACTGGATACTGTGTATGGTAGAATTCTTCTATTTTACGGATGCACGCAAGGACTTTTAAGATCAACGATACTTTGGTAATGATGAAATGTGTAAATATAGTACCTAATAGGTACACTAACCCATTCTGATTTCATGAAAATAAAAAGCATTAAATGTAGCTGGATACTATCGTTGAAGGTATGCTACATACTTCTATAGATGTTTATATACGGTTGACTGGTTGCTTACCAATTAAACGAAATAAATCTTAACGATCAGGTAACAAGTTCAAACTGTAATCCACATAAATCAGTTTTAACAGCCAAATTTTATCATCGTTCCTCAGACAAGAAATGCGTGGCTCACAACCAGTCATACAAAGGAGGATGTGGTTGCTGAGTTATATATGTTCAGTAGTAGTTAGATTGTGTAAAAAACCTTACAGATTATCAAAAAATTTATGATTTAAAATTATCATCACTCAATGTCATTAGTGGGTTTCTTAAAAATATGAATAGAAACCTACAGTTAGGTAACAATGTAAAGTAATAAATGCACATTACAAATATACCAATCGCTTCCTTGGAACATTGCTTCCATAGCTTATTCTTGGAGAAATTGATGTAATAACAACCGACTGATCGTACTGAGCATTAGGAAAAGAAAGCAAATAAAAATTGGTACTTGAGAAGTTTCCTGTCAATATCATTAAGTAGTAGTAATAAGAGAGGATCAAACACCTAACATCTGATAGTAAAGAATTTCTATTTCACCCAAAATATGAAATTATTGGCACTGATACCTAAAGACTCTCGATATAGATTTTTAACCGAATTAAATCAAAATCAAAAAAAAAGTCCATGATATCCGTTGACTGATCCGACAAAAGAACAAACGATCCAATAATGTTATTTATACCACGTATAAATAAGAATCTAAAGTTGAAAAACTCTCGCTTTACTTATCAACATCCCAAAATGTTGATATTCGATTCGACCAGTTGAAAGTAAAAATATTTTCTGTATAATAATGACCAGATGATATGGTAGATGTACTTTTGAATAAGGTCAATTAGTAAAAACAATAACTGCATACATGAACAAAAATTGTATTTAAGAAAAACATATAATGTGGTGTGTCCCACAGATGTAATCAGATACAAGTAGTATGTATCATCACTCGAACGTGAAACGTCTGTGGGTAGAAGGTTTAGAAGATCGAAGAGAATAGAACGAAAACAGAGAGTAATTGGTGTATATATAAATATATAGTGAAGCGTGCACTTGGCTTCGTGCTGGAGTGCATCTAGCCTGACTTAGTGGTATTTATCTTAGGCTTCAGCGGTTACTATCTGAGAAGCTTTAGAGCTAGAAAAACCAGCTAACTAGTGCGTCTTCGTTTCTTAGTGATTTTCACGTTTTTGTTAATCCCTGATGCAAGTACTGTAGAACTGTACAGTACCACAGTATAAAAGTCATAATAATTATGCGAATATTTCAGATTTTGGAGAAAATACAGTAATAATATTTGCTCACAAATTTTTCTCAGTGATTAATTATTTAAAAACGTTCAGTCTTCACAGCAAGATATCAGTGTTAATTTGCTCGCTTGATTATTGTCTTGAAAGTAGGTACAATAGATATGGATTGGGAGATCTACATACAGTCATAGGTACACACAGTCGGAAAATAATAAACCATCAATTACGATTGTTTCTTTGATAAGAAACTTTGAAGTAGTTCTATGGGTAACGGAAATACAATTGTTGAATTTTGTTCTGTTGCGATCGTGGCCAATGTTTGTAAATAACGTAATTGTAAGGCAGTTGGTGATCTAGCCATTTCCTCAGCAGCTTTTCTTAATGTCGACGATGCTTCTAATTCACCTTGTGCTGCTATCACTTTAGCTTTAGAAGCTCTAACAGCTTGTGCTTCTGCCGCCATGGCTCGTTGCATTTCTTGAGGCAATGAAACGTCTTTAATTTCAACTCGTTCCACCTACAGTTATTAAAAATATTAACGGACAGCAACAAATAAGCAAACGACACATGATGTTAAGTGAAGAGTTAAAATCTATGGCATTGAAATTCATGTTACATTTTACACTGAATCATTAGCTATCAAAATTTTATAATCATTATTTAACACTAACAGACCATTTGGCAATAACTTGTGCCATGCTTGTCTAGCCCTCCAACTTGGAATAAATTCTATTGATTGATATATTTTCCAGGTTTTCTCTAGTCTAAATGACCCCACATTTCTGAAGTTAGATGGATGGGAATGATTTGAAGGAATCGCAATTCGTAATAGGTCGTGTGTTGGCTGTTTTATCTTGTCAGTTGAATAAACAGACTACCAGATTCGAACGTATGTGTGAATACAAGTTGTATAAAATGCTTAATCTTGTCAGCAAAAGTCATCTTATATTTCAATTTGTTTTCATATTTAATAAACCGATTAATTCTTTTACTTCTTTGATCACTAGATTGAACACGGATAAATTTGGTCAAATCGCTACCAAATTTCAGCGTGATTAGTTTCTTACCCATACATTTATGGCACGAAACTGTCTAGGGTTAATAATATCAGTATAAAAAGTCAATAGCTCATTCACATTATTACCAGAATCATGGTACAAATAACGCACTATTCAACAATAAAACGAACGTTACTATGGCAATCTGAAATTGAGATCAATCAGCCAGATCAGAGAACACATCTTAAAACGATCTGATATGGTAATAAGACAGTTGTGGACCTATTTCTGTTTACATTTTAAAAGTCCGGTTAATCTGAAAGTGAACAAATAGTAGATAATTCAAGCAGTAGCAAGAATTTAATTTAAACAAATAGAAAACTCATTTCCTTTATTATTTAATGAGACTCATTATGCTTTTAAGTTTTTTGAAGAATTTTGTACAGCTGGTTCTCCTGATAACTTTGACCAGGTGAATAATGAACAATAACTGTAGAATTAAAAGGAAATAGTTATTCTATTTGAAGACTATTTAGCAACAGTGAGGAAAGTAAACTCATTCGTATTAACTCGTTTGATTAGATAATTCGGATTGGTATTAAATTTCAAATATTAATAAACCAAACAATAAATAAACAAGCAATGACTTGGCTTTTTTACCTTGATTCCCCATTCACCTGTAGCCTGGTCCAGTAAAATGGCCAGCTTGGAATCAATCTGGTCACGATTTGTCAATAATTGAGATAATTCATATGTTCCCAGTACTGAACGCAACGCAGTAACTGCCAATAGTTCAGCTGATTTGGCTGCATTTTCAACTCTTAATAAAGCGGCAGCTGGTTCAATCACACGCATGAATACAACAGCATCTACACCGACAGTAACTGCATCACTTGTCAATATCTCTTGTGGTGGTATGTTCACAGTCTTTGTACGCAAATCTATGCGAATCATTTGATCTGCGCATGGCATGACAAACTGTAACCCAGCACCTAAAACATATTTTCCACCAGATCGTTTCAAACGACCAAAACGTAAAATAATAGCTCGTTCGTATGTTTTGACTGTACGAATTGCAAAAAATATTGTTATTGGAAATGTACAAATGAATAGGATAGTTATGAGAATGAACAGTATGACACCTCCTGCACCAATACCTTCCTCATCTGGTTCCCAACGTGGCTCACGATTCCTTTCATTTGATCGTTCAATATTCATAATCTCAACAGTCGATAATTCTCTTGATGCCATACAGACTATTTTATAGATACACTTTGAATCACAAATGTCAGTTAGTAAGAACTAAGTGTTTATCTAAGGAAATGAAGTTATACTTCTACTTGATTGGTTGTATGCAACAGCAAATCATATTTTTTAAACTGAAATAATTTCAGCAAATGAAATTCAAGAAACTGTTAGTGAGACTTGATTGTCATGACAATGCTGCTTATAATATGATTAATTAGTCCAATGGAGGTGAATTTTTTGCAAAAACAAATTTTGACAAATAGTTTATTATCAGAATGAGTTTTGTGGAGATTTCAGTAAATTCCACAGGTTGAAATCATGAGTCAGTTGAAGCTAGATCACCATTGAAAACCTGGAAGCACTGGACGGCCGTTTCGTCCTAGTATGGGACTCCTCAGCAGTGCGCATCCACGAACCCGCCTCCCGCGGGATTCGAAGTTAAACATCTAATACGGTCAATGTTCTAACAATGGGAGAACGACTTTAATGGCCTGGTATGAACAAAGATTTAATGAAGTGGACAAATTCTTGTGTAAGCTGACGAAAATCTTAAGTGGTCAGATGTGAGAAATATCGCTCACGCTCTTTCACAACCCCTGACACTTTTCAACCACGCCCAGCTTGATTTGGTAGGACATTTAATATAATTAGTTGAATGATCATGTCTCGTGTCGTGTGTGGACCGTCTCACCCAATGACCGCAAGCAGTACCAGTCAAAGATATTACTGTTGAAACAGTGTCCTGTGCCTTAATCAAACGATAGGTAGAAAAATTCGGCTACCCTCCAACCATTACTACAGACTAAGAACCCTGGTTTGAATTCAGACTTTTCCACTCTCTTACTAAATTCTTATTAATTACACGGTTCCGAAGGATAGCCTATCACATACAAGCTAACGGTCTGATAGAACGCTGACACCTGATAGTCTTACTTTCAGCTGAAAATATATTACAAAGAACTGACGCTCTTCCAATTATCTTTCTTGGAGTTGGAAACTCTGTAAAAGTCGATGCTAGATACATTGCAGCCGATCACATTTACAGCACAATATTCCTACTTTCTGAAGAATTCTTAGACCCTTCATCTTTTTCAATGAATGTGGATCTAGACTGCTATATAAGCCGGCTTACAAACACAAAGGATTTAGTTAAAGCTGCTCCCATCCAGCCAAAATCCACTGATGATTTTTCCAGTCCACCTCACGATTCAGTATACATGTTTTCTTACTTCATGACCCATTACGTCGACCACTTCGAAGCTGCATGAGAATGACCCTTAAAAATCATTTATCGTTTACTCAAATACTGTAAAACTGATATAAGCGGCGTTGAAGATAATATCAGCATCACACGGCTAAAAGCTATTAAATTAGAAGTCAACACCCTCTCATTCTACTTTCCCGCTTACCAATCGAACGACGCAATCGCCACAATTACGATGCGATCATGGATAGGTAATGGAACGTCCATTCATAATTCAATAGAATTACTTATAACAATTGCCCCGACAACACCTCTCTTATTGCATGTTATGTTCACATGACGTTTTCTTCATTATTATTAATATTAATATTAACATCATTAGTAGTGGTATTATTACTATTATTAACTCCATTAACCAACTTAAATTCTATTATGCATTTCGTTCGTATCATTCATTTTACTATTAGATTGATTATAATTTGACACCTTACTCCAAATCACTTCAATCTTTTGTGAATAATCTTTCCAGATTACAAATGACACATTTTCGAAACGTTTGTCCAATGACAGAAGCAAAAGGTCATCATTTCTGACGTAACATTTTATGGTTCATTAGGATGCTCTGCTTTGGCCTTTGGGATACAAAGATATGAACTTGTAACTGCAGAGTGTGATGACGAAGTTATAGGAAAGTCTCCATTACAATATTCTTGTTTTTTTAACAATATATTAGGATTTCTAGTCAGTTCAGTTTTTACAAATGTAAGGTCACAGAAAAGGGTTTGAAATTGATGAGTTGGAGCTGTTATAACTAGGAATGACACCAGCATTACTTTACTCAAAGGAGATGGAGAATACTGTTGGTAGGTAAAAATTATTTTCACGATACACAGACGACAAGTCCAATAGCTCATTTCAATGTGATTTTAGTTCAGTTCAATTTTACTTTATAAGTCATTATCACTGTTCGAATGACACTGTCTGTCAAATAACTTAACTGATGTGCTTAACAAAATTAGACTTATGCAGACTCCAATGAAAATGAGATGCTATATCCTACGCTGACACGTTTGTTGTTTTCCTTGTTCGCTGATTCCATTTAACTGTAAAGATTATTCCGGTTATTTGGACGAATATTACTGGTAATATCAGTAGTATTATCATTAATAGTTTTTATGGTAGTGTTGGTTGTTGTAACAGTATTAACATTGTTAGTTTCAATTATTGCAGTTGTGTTATTACTAGAGAGAACACCAATAGTAGCAGTAGTAGTAGTAGCGGTAGTAGTTGTTTCTTTGGTTGATGTATCAGTATTCGTAGTGTTGCTAGTAGTAACATTAGCAGTAATATTGTGGTGTGTGCTACTGATGTAGACAGACATAAGTAGTGTGTATCATTAATCAAAAGTGAATTGTCTGACGGCAGAAGATTGAGAAGATCTAGTTGGACAGAACAGAAAGGAGTTATTGTAACAAAAACAGGAATAGAGATGCGATGGATTTTATAAGAGACAACTGATTGAAGATGTACAATTGAAGTATTTAATATACTGTTTTCATGTTTTACAAAGACACTGTAATTTTGCATTCAAAAATAAGTTGGCTATCTGCACCATGTCTTCGTTCATTACAGTAGTAGCAGTGGTAGTGTGAATAGTTCTAGCAGTACAAAATTGAATAAAAAAGATGTTTGTTTGAAATAAGTGATCATTCAATATTTATCAAGGATATCAATTACATAAACAGTGAATACACATAGTGCATAAATTCATATGTCCAAAGCAAATGTACATATTTGGGCATGCGTGTTCAGATGTGTGTCGTAACATGAATAACGGGTACAATAATGACAGAAAATTTATCACATGACAAAATGTATTTCGTGATCTTTGCGAAATCCATGTGATTATTATATAGATTTTTACCTTTCACGTAAGTATTGTAAAGGTTAGCAAGAAATTATTAAAATGAATGTATTTTAAGGTTTTCTTATTCGTTTGTTTGTTCACTTGGTTTTGTAGACAACCAATTATAGAATATTGTCTTTTGGGAATGTTGAGTGTTTACTATTTTAAAGAAAAACAACAAATGGAATTGGAAATGTGAACCATCAGATGTGAACATAGTAGTAATCGAATTGTAGGTATATAATACGATTGTGTTTTTTGACTCAGATAACAACATGTAGGCTGAGATCATGAGTTTTGGTACAAACGACTTCCTCCGATAGCGTGTCCCGTTTGCAAATTCTCACCTACTATTTGACCCTGAGAAGGCAAGTGAGCATGGAAGAGTGATAGGTTTGCATTCACCCAATCTATCAAAGGAATATACATGATCCGAGGTCTTTGAAATGCTGGATTTAATACTCGGTAGGCATGTGAGTGCCTACTTATCAAAATTACTATGTTAAAATGAAATGCATGTGATATTCATGTTAGTTTATCTCTATTTAATAAGAGTTTGTTTCCACGTAACAGTTACAAATCAAGAATTCCGTTAATTAGTTAACACACATGGAAATTAAACTATATATTTCTAATGATCATGAGTGACTGATTAAGTTCTATGTAAATGTGGGTATGGTATTTAGAGTTAGACAGAAAAATGGATTACAATAAATTTCTAAGCAACAGTCCAAGGTTTAAGGCAACAGTTAATTATTGATAAATTTAATTTAATTTGACTCGATTTGTACTAGGACGACAAAAAATGTTGAAATAACTTTGTTAATGAATTATATTTAATTGTTCATCTATCAGTTGTCTGAGATCACGTTGTCGAAAGTTGTTTAACATGGATCAATATTATTCACGTGTGAAATCTGATTTCTAAATATGGTCCGAGAATAGATTTTATGTGTTAGTTAGAAGTATTTGAATTATAATATGAACTAAGAATCCCAGAAATAATGCAATTGGATCAAAAAGTACTAGATAACCACAAACGAATGTATTGTATTTGGAATTCGAAATCAAGTTATCAACAAGTAAAAAGGTATTATTAGTTCATTCAAACACCACATTTTATTATGGTGTTTAAAATTACTGTTTTGACATATTTGTGAATAGATCCCATCGTTGACTGGTGCCGGTTGTAGAACTTATGGAAACTGCTGAAACTTAACTACTTGTTTCATATAAGGTGACAAACAAGAATCAATATGCAGTCATAACACAGAAAGTGATTTAACCGCAAATATTCTAGATACCATTGAGCTATAATACCACAAATCATTCATAACACATTTTGCAATTTCAACCAGTTTGCTTTGTTACACTGCCATTAATTAGTGTAACCAACAAAGATTGTTTCACTGTCAACTTAGCTGATGTCAGTGATTTCGTTTTGCTATCAGCTAACTTCTATGATTTGTTGTTAGCGAACACTATCTATGGTTTATTGAACTGACGAAGTTAAACAATCCACATCCTAATAAAAACATTTCAAATTGAATAGATTTTCACAAAATCAATTATAGTGAAGTTATTTAATACATATTAATTGTCAAGCAAATTAATGCAAGCTAGGAAAATAAAAATTTAAAACAATGTACAATCTCATTATTTCATTATATCATTATATCATATTCAATAGCGATGGTGAAAAATAATATACCAAATCAACATTTGCGAAATGTATGACCAAATAACAATAAAAGTTCGTATGATGCATAACTACTGAACTTTTCTCATTGGTACCAGTCTCAAACATACTTGTGTCTGGACAGATCAATTTATTCGTTCTCCACAAACCACATTTGACCTTGTTGTTTATTCGCTTATCAACCCTGACCGTTT